CTCTATAAAAACTGTGTGTTCCCATAGGTTCGTCCTATTTGGCGGCTGCTGCCTCGTCCACAGCTTCTGATACCTAAGAGGACTCTCCCCCACAAACTGTAAGTAAAAGAACTTCCTTTGTCTGCCTGGACGGCACCTGGGAGTAAGGGGTTAACAATGGCACTACACAGGTAGAGGAGAAAGTCTGTTTGCTTTTGTTTTCAGGAGAAACTTGATGGTGGCTGAAAATGTGATGTTGTACTGAAATGATTTTCCTCCCTAAGCGTGAATGCTCATCCACACCTTTGCTGACTCTTTGGAGGCAAAATGCTCAGGATGGATGTCAGCTCCCAGTGTGACCTGCATGAAAGCTCTTCTGTCTTTGGCCTAGGAGAAACAGCTTGAATGCTCTTATTTGGTTAGGTGCCAATCATGTTTTGAGGTTCCTGCTCATTTCTATTCTCCCCATGACAACTGCTTAATTCAATGATTTGTTTACATATCTATTGCCTGATGTCATTTTCTTCATTCTCTTCCTATTCCTACTAGTGCTGGCGCTGAAGCTCCTTTGTCACATAAATGAGCTCCTGGTGTATGTTGCTTGTTACCCTTGCCTTCACCACTGCTCAAATGAGAAAATGGAACAGGCTGGGAATTGTCACAGAGCACCATCATCATTTGTTTATGAATTGTCAAATTTCCACTTGTTTGATGCTTTCTGTAACATTTCCTACTTTGAAGATCCTACAGTTTAAGTTATTTGGAATAACTCAGAAGCTGCTGACGTACTTTAGGATATTTGTTCTACTGTCTGAAAAATAGATGTGTTATGAGGATATGCTGCCTTTATGCACAAGGGAGGGGCAGAGAGAGAGAGGGAGGGAGAGGATCCCAATCTGGCTCTGCCCTGTTGAGCGAGCGTAGAGCCCGACAGGGGGCTTGATCCCATGAACTGTGAGATCGTGACCTGAGCCAAAATCCAGAGTGGGACTGAGCCACCCAGGCACCCCAGGAGATGCTGCCTTTTAAAATAAACTTCTTTCTAGTTACCTAGGGCTCCGTTAGCCAATCGGGATCCAGTAGGGGCTTGAGTTCTGCTGCCATTAAGCCAAGGCACATCTGGGGACCACCCCAGACCTACGCTAAAGCCTGAGGTGCTGGATGAAGACCAAGAAGTGCCTTTGACCTAGGTGCCAGTTTAGAAGAAAGAGCAACACTCAGCTCTCTTTCTGAGCTACCTCATGTGTGTTCAAAGCATCAGGGATCAAGCTGTCATAGGGCATCTCACTGCGCTTGTCACTGTGACATGGGGGTGGGTGGGTGGGTAATGAAGCTGTGGGCATCTTCACACATCTATATGTAAAATCTTGCTCGCAGTGCCTGAAGGTCATAGGCTTTCAATGTATTACCTCCTCATGTCTTCTTGAAAGCCCATCTGCCTTGCACATGGAGAAGCGAATGGACTCTTTACTCCCCTATATTTCTCTAGGAGTTAAATATTCATTTTTACAAATCATTATCTTTTCACAGAACCTCTTCAAGGAAGGCAGAAAGAACTGTAGGTTTCATCTGCTATTTTTCTAAAAAAGGATTGGAAAAAGGATTCCAAGTCAGAAGCCAGTAGGATGTGGTTTTTAATCCCAGGGCATCACAATTTAGGAGGGGCATCAGACATATTCTTTCTGAGGTTCAGATTCCCCATCTTTAAAGTTGGCAGGGTTGACATCTCTGAGGTCACTTGCACTTCTGTTTTTCTGTGATTACCTTCTATTCTCATATTTCCATACAAACTTCTCCCAGATTTGTATATGTATCACCTGTTAATATATTACATATAATAAATAATGTAATATATAAACCTATTCATTGAGAAATCAAACATTACAAAAAATTTATAAAGTAAAATGTGAGGGTCACTCCATCCCATTTCAGTCCCCACAAGTAACTCCAGGGTGGTTACTCTCTGCTTACATAGATGCACAAACAGTATGTGTTATACCAGTAAAATACTTTTTTTTAGGTTTATTTATTTATTTTTAGAGACACAGAGACGGCATGGACAGGGGAGAGGCAGAGAGAGAAAGAGAATCCCAAGCTCCATGCCATCAGTGCAGAGCCTGATGCAGAGCTTGAACTCACGAAATTGCAAGATCACGACCTGACACAAAACTGAGAGTCGGATGTTTAACCGACTGAGCCACCCAGGCGCCCCAAACCATTTTTTTTTAACTAAAAAAGAATGATACTAAATATTACATACTTCCTTGAAACTTGCTTCTCCCCCCCCCCCCCCCATTGTAATAATACAATGTGAACAACTTCCCATCACACTTTAAAAACAAATTGGCTTGAGACCTCAGTGAGCAGAGGCTGGGGAGCACGGAAATCACTCTCCACGGTCACCCACTCCTGGCTATCTTCCTGTCTCCAGGGATGAACATTGGTCTGTGACCCTGTTTTATGATTAACAGAGGGGCAACATTTGTGCTGATGTGATACAGACCTTTAATCTCTCTGTAGAAGTTTAACTTCCCATAAGCAGTATTGGTTCATTTTGACCTTTTCTCTGTTTTTTTTTTCTGGTTGAATCAGCACACTCAGACTAAAAAAATAACTTGGTAGTATATAGAAACATGGGATCTTGGGTAATTATTTTTTTTAACATTTATAAAGAGATATATAGTAATATCCAACATTTTCATAATGCATTATAAAACATCTTCCAATTTATCATGCAATTAATTCGACAAACATATTTGGAGCAACTACAATGAGTACGGGTGCTCACAAGTTACATTAGACCTGGCAATGAGACAACCAGAGCAGATATTAGCACCATTTATTCCATAGTAAACTAAGACTTGGAGAAGTTACTGACTTGCTCAAGGTCCCAGTGAGGAGGAAGCAGAGCCAGTGTCTGAACCCAGGTCTGTCTGACCTAGGATGAAAACCCTGTGTGAATATATGAGATGTTTATAAATCGACAAGCTCTATAGTGTAAGGCTGATGAAACACAGCCCAAGGATTTTGGGTCCTCTGGGGGTGTCATCAACAAGTACTCTGGGGGTGTTATTGGGGACATTAGAGCCACCCAAAGGCTGATTCCTTTCACCAGGCTCACTCTTTCCTTGAAAGAGGGGAGTACTGCCCCTTATCCTAACTTTGTGCCTTATTAGTTACGTGTCCTTGGACAAATAATTAAACTTTCTTGTATTCTTTCCTTATCTATTATATAATGTGTGGGGGGGGAGGGGAGAAGCCCAGCTGCCTTCTGAGGGTATAATGAGGAATAAATTATATAGTGCATGTAAAGCAATTAGCAGAGTACTTGGCAATAAATGGTCATTTGCTATTATTGGGTGATGTTTTCCTTTTGTTTCATCAGGGAAACATCTTTCTTTCTTATTTGTTAATTCCTTTATGCAATTACCTGAACTGAGAGAGAAAATTTGCACTTTGGTCTGAAGGTCACCAATTTCAGGTTGGCTTTTATCCACATAAAGAACTAGTGGCCAGATTTAAAGTTAGTAATCCCCGAATACAATCTTAGGAACTAATATATAAATGAGGGGAAACCCTATCTTCAGGTGGCTGGGATGGGAGGGGTCTCAGAAGATCATCTTCTCTAGAGATCATTGCCCATTAGTCTATCCTGTCTGTCCCCAGTGACAGTGCTGTGGTTCCACTCTTTGGGGTTAATGCGAGAACCCCTGTTGAAGTGAGAGTGGCATCAATGACACCCTCTTGTGAATTAGTTCAGTAGCCATCCATTTCTTATATCAACCCTGCCTTGAAGGGATGCAGAAAATGTGAAGAAATTGATTTGCCATGCGGAGCAGCACTGGGTGGGGAGCTCTGCCTCATCCTAGCTGAGACCATGGGCAAGTCTGTTAACTTCTCTGGGTATTAACTTGCTGGTTAACTAATGAAGATAATAGCTGCCTTGGTTACCCCATTGCTGAGTGGATTAAATGAGAACTGAGATGTCCCTGTGCTTGCAGGAAGTAGAAAGCAGGCATGGGGCATCTACCCTATGGATGAGTGTTTGAGAGGGAGAAGACCAGGGAAAGGAGGAGGTCATAGGATTGAATAGGACACCATTCAAGATAATCCTTACCACCATTTTTTTTTCTTTGATAGTCCAACACCTGCAAAATTAATCTTTCTAACATCCAGATGAGAGTGCTGGGAGCTTGCATTTTTGACTAGCCCAAGGTGGCAGCCGAACAGAGGCAAGATTCTTTTCAGAGGGCCACTGCCGAGAAGGGTGCTTGCATAGGGGATCTTCAAACCAGAGTGTCTCTTTGCTAGAGCAGTGAAGCTGAGAGGGATTGGAGCAGGGATCACTGCATGACTTTGGCATACAGAGTGATCCTAGAGTCCATGGGAGCCTCCAGTCCAGAGCCACTTAGGGAAAATCCTCCCCTTATATCCCAAATGGTGTCATAGGTGGTTGAATATAAGAAAAAAGAGCCTTGCACACCATACTCTATGTCCCAAAGCCGAAGGGAGGTTAACTGCAAGGCCAAATGGCAGTTCCTCCTCTCAAGCTTGCTACCCAAAGAATAATCCAGGCTAACAGAATAAAATGGGAGATGGCCATCGAAGCTGAAAGCCTCACTGTCCTGGCTTCAAGTCATCCAGAGCACCCAAAGGCACCAGAGATCCACGGAGGGATAGTCAATGACCGCAGTGCCGTCTATTTGTCAGATTTGAGTGGGTCACTAGTTAGCTGGTTCAGTCTCAGAATCAGTGAACCCAGAGGTCTCCTGGAAGACATTCTATTTAGGATGACCATGAAATTTGGCATCCCACCTTCCTCCATTATGGCTAATTGCAACTACTTAAGGTAGAGGGGGAAAAACCCAGACCTCATTTGTTTATCCATTATGGACATGGTTCAGAAATAGAGGGGCCCACAGGGCTTGGTAGCATACCTTGGCTGTCTTGGTCATGAGCCTGTCTGATCCACCTGCAGTTCTGTTCAGGACACTCCCACACTCTTTTCCAGACCTGTCACCATGGCCCACCGATTTCCAGCCCTCACCTCAGAACAGAAGAAGGAGCTCTCAGAAATCGCCCAGCGCATTGTTGCCAATGGGAAGGGGATCCTGGCTGCAGATGAGTCCGTAGGTGAGTGCAAGTAACATCATACAAGTGTATTCTTATTTCTACAACTTAGCAAAGGCAATCAACAATCATATTCTTTCCTCTCAGAGGAGTAAAGGTACACAGCAGTGGGAGCAGAAGACCCAGTAAACATAGACATTTTGAGTCCTGTAGTTCCAGTGGGTAGATTTCTGAAAAACAAAGGAAGAGGCTCAAGCCCTCCATTTTAAGGCCCCCTTGCCAGCAATCATTTGGGGTTTTTTTTTTTTAATGTTTTATTTATTTTTGAGAGAGAGAGTCAGAGAGACAGAGTAGGAGCAGGGGAGGGGTGGAGAAAGAGGGGGACACAGAATCTGAAGCAGGCTCCAGGCTCTGAGCTGTCAGCACAGAGCCCAGTGTGGAGCTCAAACTCTTGAACCACGAGGTCATGACCTGAGCTGAAGTTGGATGCTTAACTGACTGAGCCACTCAGGTGCCCTGCCAGGGATCTTTTGAATATAGACTATAGCAAGGCCAGGAACTCAGTAATAAGAATGAGGTCAGATACACAGACCTCTGCTGCTGAGAAGTCAGTGTAAAGTCAGCTAAGGAAGGTCAGGGAAGGCAGGGAAGTGTCCATATCTGGAACAGGGAAGGGCTTGTGGCTGAGAGAAGCCCAGGATGGCACAAGGGAGGGTTGCAGCTGGCCTCTATGGCCCACCATAAAATGATAGAAGCTAGAGGAGTCAAGAGCCCGCCCCATCCCTCCTTCTGCTGTATCGTCTAGTCAGATTGAGGGCTGGACCTGGGGGTGGGGGGTGGGGGTGGCTAGAGAGGTCTGAGGGCCTTACAAACCCACTTGAACCCAATGGTGGCTTCCACCCACCTGGACCCTGACATGTCCATTCCATGCACTTCCTAACCAGCATCCTGACAGCAGCCCAGGTCTTTCTTGAGGGAGCCAAAAGGGAGACAGTTTTGAAGATCTGAATAAAACAGAGTCTTGCCGTCCTGCTTAGGGTCGCTGAGCTAGAGTGGAGGAGGCCAGCAGTAAAGCCCTGGCTTGCCCCTCCAGCTGCGTTTGGCCCGCCCACCTTATAGGCACCATGGGAAACCGCCTGCAGAGGATCAAGGTGGAGAACACTGAGGAAAACCGCCGGCAGTTCCGGGAAATCCTCTTTACCGTAGACAACTCCATCAACCAGAGCATCGGGGGCGTGATCCTTTTCCATGAGACCCTCTACCAGAAGGACAGTCAGGGGAAGCTGTTCAGAAACATCCTCAAGGAAAAGGGGATTGTGGTGGGAATCAAGGTAAATACTTCCATTTCCACCTCCCTTCTGCCTCATCCCAGCCCAACTCTCAGCACAGTCACTGGGCCAACACTCTGGACACCCTCATCATTCCAACTGTCATTCATACTCCTTTCCAGCATCATCCTCCCCCTGAGGACCAGATCCTCTTCTAGACTTTTCTGCCAGTGCCTTCTTCTTCCAGCCAAGTTTTCTATAAGGTACTTTATCTCCTGGTGTCTCAGTTTCTCCATTTCTAAAATGGGAATAGTAGGGCGTACCTCATAAGGCACTTATAAGAATGAGGAGTTTATAAACCAGTTCCTGTCACATAATTATTATTTATTTCAGGATCACTATTATTATTGAGGCATTTACCATTCAGTTATAACTCTGTTATCTCAAACCACATGAGCTCAGGATTGAAAACTAGTATCAGTTGAGTGCTTACAACTCCAAGTGCTCCTTTAATCTTCCTCATAACCTCTGGAGGTCAGTTTAGTTATTATCCTAATTTTAGAGATGAGGCAAGAAAATGGAATTACAAGGCATAGCGATAAGTTGCCCACAGCAAGGCAAAACTGGAGCCAGTTCACACCCAGGCTGTCTACCTCTCTGGCTCATGACCTCAGATTCTGGTATGCCGAGAGTAGGGGCTGTGTCTTTATTCTTTTGATTTCCTGGAATAATGTAGTGCCTGGTATGTGCAGGTGCTCATGAAATTTCTCTTAGACACATAATTTAAGGGAGCTACTCCTATATGGCACCTCTACATCCCAGGTACTGTCAGATTACTTCTTATTTACCAAGCTCCCGGTGTTTTCCATACTTTCCATCTTCTTAGTGTTGACACTCAGACATTGTTCCTTCCAGGTAACTTCCCTTCTGCTGTGGACTGAGTTGTGTGTCTCTGCCCCTCCCTCCGTCCTGTTACTAACACACCTTTGGAATTCAACTCCTTGGCTTATGAAAAATGACAACTATTAGTACCAGGGGCTCTGCTTGTGTTTTCCTGGGGCCCATGACATCTGCTAATTGCTTGTTAATTATGTTCACAGTTAGACCAGGGAGGTGCTCCCCTTGCAGGAACCAACAAAGAAACCACCATTCAAGGTAAGGATATCACCCACTGATATGAATCATGCCAATATATGTTAGAAATGATGGCAAGCAAAGAGGGAAGTAAGGGAAACCAAAATATGAATATCACACTGGTTTTAGAGCCACACACATCTGCTTTTCAATCCCAGCTCCTCTATGTAATAACTGTGTGACCTCAAGCTAGTCATGTAAATGTTCTGAGCCAGTTAAAATGGGATGACAGTGTCTGCTTTGCAGAATAGTTGTGGGAATTAAATTAGATAAGGTACCTAAAGTGCTTACCACAGTGCTTTGTGCAGAGAAGATACTCTGTACCTGAGAGTATAAGTTTTAGAGAAAAATCCAGCAGCAGAAGAGAGGAAAGGTCCCAAGTTTTGGAATCAGACTCACCAGGGTTTGACTCCTGGTTCTATCACTTCCCAATTAGACAATTTTGCAAGGTACTTCACTGCCCAAGTAGGTAAGTATGAACCACAGCTTTGGGTTAGCTAAGCGGAATTTGAATTCCTGTTCTGTCACTTGTTAGCTATGCAAACTTGGTAAAGCCACTTAACCTCTTGTAGCCTGGGTTTTCACATCTGTAAAACTACTATAATATTAACTATTAGAATTCTTATGGTAATTAGATGAAGTATGCAAAATTCCTAGAATCATGCCTGGAACATAGTAAATACTAAACAAATATTAGTTCCCTCTATTCTTACAAAGTATAAAGCCCCAGATCTTTGGGCTCAGTATCAGGATTGATATTTATTTGCCTGGATGTTTTCAGTCCTTAAGCTCCACCAACTGAAAGGTAAGGCAAGGAAGAACTTCCTCACTTCATCAGTGCCCCATGGATCAGGGATAAGGGTGCAAAGAAGCCTTTTTCTCTTTTGTGACTTGCAGGGCTCGATGGCCTTTCTGAGCGCTGTGCCCAGTACAAGAAAGATGGTGCTGACTTTGGGAAATGGCGTGCTGTGCTAAGGATTGACAACCAGTGTCCATCCAACCTTGCCATCCAGGAAAATGCCAATGCCCTGGCCCGCTACGCCAGCATCTGTCAGCAGGTGCTCAGCCTTCCCCTTGAGCTAAAACAACAGTAGGAAAGAGCCTTCTTCAGAGCTTCTCTTTCCAATTTTACTATAAGTACATGAACCTTATCTCACCCCTGTATCCTGGTGGCATTTTGTACCACTTTTGCTATAGCTAGGTATGGTAGGGTAAGATTTGCTTCCACAAGTTAGCTATGAACCCAAAGGCTGATGCCATCAACAGCTGCCCTCTGTCAAAGCTCTATAAGCTGAGTCTTACGAGTGATCCAGCCCCTAGGGCCAGGGCACTTGCTTGCCTATGCTCCATCACATCTAAAACATGATCCTCTGAGATCCCTAGCTCAAGAGTGACAGCTCTGATTTAGCCCCAATCCAAATAGTATCTTGGAGGATGGTGACCTGACACTAGTTTCCAACATACGTTGAAGTGTCCTGGGATCCCAGTTAACGTCTGATTTGCTTGTGTGGGTGTTATGTTGGAGTTACCAACGTTCTCAGAACCATAAACAGTGCTTAATTCCTTAATTAACCCACACAAGGGGTATCTTTCTTAGTGATCTTGACTGCACTAAATGGGTGACAACTAGGTTCTGAGGTAGCTAGAATAATCTCTAGCATGATCTGTATCTATAGAAACTATGGGTTTTTATTTTTTTTATTCACTCCCAGGAGAACTTTTTTTTTTTTTTTTAACCTCACTGTGCTTTCTTGGCCAAGCTACAAATGCTCTTTAGAAATCCCATTAAATTTCTTTTCACTGTCTTTAAGTCAGTGAATGGTATTTCTCTATAAGGGCCCCATTTTATACCAATTGCAACTGTCAAACATCTTTTTTTAAGTTTATTTACTTATTTTCAGAGAGAGAGAGAGAGACAGTGTGAGTGGGGAAGGGACAGAGAGAGAGGGAGACAGAGAATCCCAAGCAGGCTCCTCGCTGCCAGCACAGAGCTTGACTCAGGGCTTGAACTCATGAAACTGTGAGATCATGACCTGAGCTGAAAGCAAGAGCCCAGACGCTTAATCGACTGAGCCAGGTGCCCCAGGCAGCTGTAAAACATCTTCTTAAGGAAAGGATCACAGTGAACAGAGCTGCTCTTTACCTCTTCCTTTTTTCCCTTTTTAGAATGGGCTGGTACCCATTGTTGAACCAGAGGTACTTCCTGATGGAGACCATGACATGGAACACTGCCAGTATGTTACTGAGAAGGTAAGTCTTGAACATAAAAGTCCCAATTCCAGTTGAAAAATCTTGGTACTTAACATATATCAGCTGTGATATATGAAATGTTGTTCAGTTGGAATCATTACGTAGCATTGAGAAGGTAAGGAGGTACTTATCAAACCTTTTTTTTTTTTTTTTTTTTTTTGGCACAATGGTATTCTCCATATGGAAAAAGCACAGAATTTTCTGTACTAAGACTTGCATTTCACAATCCACGTCCCCAGCTGTGGGACCTTTGGTAAATCCTGTTATCTTTTTGGATCAGTTACATTATATGTAAACAAAGAAATTTAAAAATAAGATGAGTAAATGTGAAATGTAAGAAACAAAACAGATGAACATAGGGAAGGGAAGGAAAAATAAGATTAAAAACAGAGAGGAAGGCAAACCATAAGAGACTTTTAAATACAGAGAACAAACTGAGGGTTGCTGGAGGGGACGTGGGTGGGGATGGGCTAAATGGGTGATGGGCATTAAGGAGGGCAGTTGTTGGGATGAGTACTAGGTGTTGTATGTAAGTGATGAATCACTGGGTTCTACCCTTGAAGTCAATACTAGACTGTATGTTAACTAATTTGAATTTAAATAAATAAAAATTTAAAAACCTGTATATTAAAAAATAAATAAATAGGTAAAAATAAGACAAGCATCACGTGAGAAAAATGTAATTAGAAGGTACTTCATTCATACTTTCAGTGTAACCTGATTTCAGTTTCTCCATTTGCAAAAGTAGGTGGACTGAGATGAAGCTGGTTGGGAAGCTTTGGCCAAGCCTCATACAAGAATACCTTTGGCTCGCATCCCTGCGACATAAAAGTGCCAAGGTCAGGTGACTGTCAGGCTGGCTCTGGGTTTCACCTGTTTGGACCTCTTGTCCTTCAGGTCCTTGCTGCTGTCTATAAGGCCCTGAATGACCATCATGTTTACCTGGAGGGCACCTTGCTGAAGCCCAACATGGTGACCGCTGGACACGCCTGTACCAAGAAGTATATGCCAGAGCAAGTGGCTATGGCCACTGTCACAGCTCTGCACCGTACTGTTCCTGCAGCTGTTCCTGGTAAGGCTTTCCTTCTCCTCTGACTTGAGATCTTAGCTCTCATCCTGTGAAGGAGTTCCACAACCTCTTGTGTTTGTCTAAAAGTCTTCTTTTTTCCAGGAAACAGACCTCTGTATCTCAGAGGCAGCCAGCACTTTCCCTCATACTCCATGATACCACATATCCTGAGTCTGTCCAAATGCACAAAATCCATTTATTTCCTCAAAATTTAATCACCCTCCTTATTTATTAAAGCCTTCTCTTTTTAGCCCAGTTAACCTCAGCAAAAGCTAACTAATTTTTCCAACTCAGTTCCGTGCAAAGAGAGAAAAGATTGAGGCATCACATTTCTTTTGGGCTCATTGCTCGCTTTCTCAAGCCAGGCACATAAACTGGGAGTAGTAGAGAGGAATGGCTTCTTTCCTTCCAGGTATCTGCTTTTTGTCTGGTGGCATGAGCGAAGAGGATGCTACTCTCAACCTCAATGCTATCAACCTTTGCCCTCTACCAAAGCCCTGGAAACTAAGTTTCTCCTACGGACGGGCCCTGCAGGCTAGTGCACTGGCTGCCTGGGGCGGCAAAGCTGCAAACAAGAAGGCGACCCAGGAGGCTTTCATGAAGCGGGCCCTGGTAAGATGCTACTGCTTCTTAGCTACTTGATCAAGTGGCTACTTGGAGCTTTCTTACCTGGGGAAGCATTGCTTTTTTTTCAGGCCATAATGGTATCTCCAGAGAGTGTCTGCTAGATATTTGAAAAGGTGGCATTAGAGCTCAGTAGGAAGGAGAGGGCTAGAGAGAGTTGTGAATTATCCACACTGGGAGCTTAGTTGATGACAGCAGACTGAAGGACAATCTCCACAGAGACACTGGCGAGGGAACATAAGAGGGCCAAGGACTGACCCCAGGCACCTTTCATTTTGGGGAGATGAAGAAGAAAGCCATCATGACAAGCAGCCATAATATGAACCAAGGATCCTGGGAACAAATGGCGACAAGTTTCAAGGGGATCAGTAGTAACACGCTACAGGGAGATTCAGAATAAAGGCTGAGGGAAAGCGGACATTGGCATTTAGGAGCATATACAGTGACCCTCAGCTCAACGATTTCAATAGAGAGAGAAGAGGAAAGGTTGTCAGGAAGGAAGGTTGGTGGGAAAAGGCCCAGAAAGGATACCAGGAGAAATAAGGACTAAAACGATTTTATTCAATCAGTAACCATTCCTTTTTGAATACCTAGTATGACCCAAGGGCTGGGGTGAATAAAGGAGATGCAGATACCACCTTCAGGGAGCTTAGGGTTCAGCCAAATAGGGGAGAGCCTGGCATGTTTAAGTGTAAAGCAAAAGGAGCCAGAGGAGAGATTAAAGACAAGGTCAGTGGGGATAACTGAGAGGACAAGGAGTTAGAAGAAACAAGATTGCACGAAACTAAATATTAAATGCAGTTGGCAGAGTTGGTCTTGGAAAGGAGGGAAGAGGCAGCAAAGAAGAAAAAAAAAATGGGTTTGGAATCAGGTCTGTAGAGGTGAAGGGATGTAGCAGTTGATTCCAGTTGAGGCCATCTGTTGAGGGTGATAAGGGAATGGAGATTTCAGTCTTAATTAACATTGGGGAAGCTCAGAATAGTTGTTGGAGTAGCCTGTGAGGAGACTGACCAGACATAATGGCCAAGCATCAGGCACGGTATGGCTGAAATGAGAGTAAATTTGTGGTGTGTTAACTTAGATCCTGAAGTTTCCTAATACCTTAATCATGCAGGAAGATCCAGATCAATCTCAGTGGGAAATGGCAGGATAGCAGAGTAAAAGTTTAATAGGGAGCTAGGACAGTGCTGAACTTGAGCAATAGCCCTAATGTGGCTTGCTGATCACAGAGGAGGCTGGGCAAGGAACCAAGCATAGCCAGAAGTTTGGTGATGAGACATTAAAGAAAGGAAGGCCCCAGAGAAGCTTAGAAAACATCCCACAGGCATAAAAGAGGTGTGAGATTTTAGAGGTAGTTCTTGACTTTGTTAGGATGGACAGCTGGGTCTGGCTGTGCTGATATGTGGCTGAGGAGGTGGGGAGATGTAGCTAGTATGATGGAGGGATTGTGAAAGAAAGGGCTGGAAGGGCCATCCACACAAAACAAGGGAAGTTGAGTTCATCATTCAGGATGGTGGTTCTCAAGCTTGAGTATGCATCTGAATCACCTGGAGGGTGTGTGGAAATACAGACTTCTGGGCCCCAGCCACTGAAGTTTCTGATTGAGAAAAACTGGGGTCAAGCCAAAGAATTTTCATTCCTAAAGAAGTGCTTGGGGCGCCTGGGTGGCGCAGTCGGTTAAGCGTCCGGCTTCAGCCAGGTCACGATCTCGCAGTCCGTGAGTTCGAGCCCCGCGTCAGGCTCTGGGCTGATGGCTCAGAGCCTGGAGCCTGTTTCCGATTCTGTGTCTCCCTCTCTCTCTGCCCCTCCCCCGTTCATGCTCTGTCTCTCTCTGTCCCAAAAATAAATAAACGTTGAAAAAAAAAATTATAAAAAAAAAAAAAAAGAAGTGCTTAAGTCCATGCAACATACTTTGAAAATCACTGTAGATGTAGAAATAAGTCCCAGAGAGAGCAAGACTATAGCAACAGTGACTTGAAGACATGATACCATCGAGGGGCATTCAAATATTATTATTGCAGGTTTTGTAATTCTGGACTCATCTTTAATTGGAATTTATACAAGGAATCAAATGATAGTGTAATTACAACTCCAAAAAATTATATATTCTTGTGGACAAATATAGGTGGAAAATGGAAAATTTTTTTTGAAATATTTTTTTTTGAGAGTGTGAGTGTGAGTGGGGGAGGGGCAGAGGGAGAGAGGCAGCGAGAGGGGAAAATCCCAAGCAGGCCTCACAGTGTCAGTGCAGAGCCCAATTTGGAGCACTAACTCACCAACCATGAGGTCACGACTTGAGCTGAAATCAAGAGTCAGAGGCTCAACCAGCTGAGCCCCTCAGACGCCCCTGGAATAATTTCTTTAATTTGCTGTGTTGTACCTCTGGCTATACCTTGCCTGGTCCTTTGGCATAATATCTGGACCATTTCCTAGCAAACGACTTGAACAGCCATTGCAAGCTTCTCCACTGTTCAGATTGAAATGTCCATTCCCTTATCGCTATATCAATGAGAAGTTTCTCAACTTTTAGTACTGTTGTTGCAATACTGTTGGTACTAAAAAGAGACCTTCTCAGTAACTGACACAAACCTCAGCCTGCCTGAGAAATGCTCAGAAAGCTGGGATAAAAAAGGAGATAATGTATCATAAAAGGAAAGGAAAGCTATCAGCATCAATATTTAGCAAAATCACTGTAGGGAGAAAAAAAATCCAAATGCAGGTGGAGCTGGTTTCAAAGGAGAGACAGAGAGAGTCAAGCACAGGGTTGCATTTGCTCTAACCCCATGTCCTCTCTCATGCTTGCTTTTTAGGCTAACTGCCAGGCAGCTAAAGGACAGTATGTTCACTCCGGCTCTTCTGGTGCTGCTTCCACTCAGTCTCTCTTCACAGCCTGCTATTCCTACTAGAACCTGAGGCCAACCAGCCTGCCTCTAGCTCTCCTACATGCCTTGGTTGGAGTGCTGAAAGAGAACAACTGACCTTGGACATTAGACAAAATCAGATTTGAACTACTGGAAACACAGTACCTGTTAAATTCTTAGACTCAATGAAAAAACATCAGTTACTAAAACATAGGTGTGAATATCAAGGATCTGACAAAATTTCACGCAATTTCCTTCCAACGGCTCCAGCTCCCCATGCCCCAGAGTATCTACCTAAGAAAAGAATAGACTTGAAAACAAAACCATTCAAATAACGACATTCAAATATCGCAGAAGCTGAGTGCAGAGAAGTGCATCTCATTAAACAATCTTAGCAGTGATATGTTACGAAGGAGACAACTGCAACCAACAAAGAAATAAAATGTTCTAGAAGCCTTCGGCCAGTATCAGGTTTTATTTTTTGCTCTTGCTTCCAAAGGGCTCAGTATATTTCATTACCTTTGACTCTACTAGACATGACTGACATTAATGGTTAGGGTCCTCAATTTGGGCTACTCCTGGGAATAACCTGCCAAAAATTAAAACTCCCAGATGCTCAGCCCACACCACAGCCCAATTAAATCAGAAACTGTGGATGTGGGATCCTCTAAATATCAGGGTTTCTTAACAGCTCCCTTGGTGATTCCAACGTACAGCCAAGTTTCAGAGCTACCACGCTAAATTTCAAGTTTGAGGATATTTTGAAATGAAAGCCCTTCATAATATGAAACAAGCTAAAATGTAAAGTGATTTCAAGCAACACACGGAGTATTATGGGAGAATCAGTGTTGCTGTGATGCCTGCAGGGTTCCTCTTGAAGTGGCCCAGGTTTGGGGATATAGACTATGCACTCCCTCTGCACATCTAAGCATGCTACCTTGTTTTGCAGTAAATGCTATTCACACAATTATACTTTATTGGCTTTCAATTTTCAAAATTAACCTACAGAAAAAGCATTATAGACAGCCATAGTTAGAAAAGAGAATTTATTTTAATTTTGTGCAATATAAAAATAATGATTTTGGTGGGAATAAAAGTAATGATTGAACTGATAGAAGCTAGGAAATTAAAGGGAGAGAAGTGAGGGAACATTAATTCACTTAGTGGGAAGTCAAGATATTACTAAAAATTGATGGATTAAGAAATTGTGCTTAAAAAAAGAAATAGCCCTCTAAGTCTATTAAAGGAAATGAATAGAAATCACTAAAATATCCATATGTATAATTAAATATAGGAGAAAGTAGTAAACTAAATTTTTTTGTCTTGAAGAGTACAAAGATAAATGATATTGCTTGGAGTAGATAAGTTAAGAACTAGAGGCATAAGCAAAGTATTTAAGGCAGGAAGACAGAATTAGTCTAAAGGGGCTTTGTTTGAGGAGAGAGACCCGGGAGTAGGGCACACAGAAAATTTTTAACTCACGTGTCTCCACCACACTTAAGTATCTGTTTCTGTATACTTGTATTACTTCTCTAAAGACAGCTATATTCATGTAAACAATTCAAACCTACCTTAGAGATCATTTGGCCTGAGACTTTCACTTTACAGATGATAAAACCAAGCCTAGAGCAGTGAAATTACTTGCTGATGGTCACACATATGGGGGTTTAGGATAGAGCTGAGAGATTAGAATCCAGGTCTCTTTCTCCTATAATGGACACATGGCCAGGAAGGAAGGTAAGGACAGGACAACAGGCAGTGTTCAAAACCTCTATTACCAGTGTTGTAGGTCTTCTACATTTCTTACCTCATTCATTCATTCATTCATTCATTCACTTATTCAATCAGCAAGTAGTTGAGTTCCTACCATGTGCTAAGCTCCCCTAAAGCTGGCAACACCTGATGTGACAAAACTCTCGCCAGGAATTTTATCTAGAGCTCACTTAGCATCACTGACCCTATGTTGTACAGAAACCTCCTAGACTATCATTTATTGGTTGAGCAAGAATCTATAATCAATGTATTTTGATCCAGGCCAAATTACACTTCCCTAGGGATAAGGATTTATATAATGCATTTTCCTGGCTATCATCTGGTATATTTTTCCAACTAAAGCACTACAGTTGTCTTTGAAATCTCAACCCCAGTAATTTATGCCACTGAGAGTAATATGAAGACAAGTTTTATGAGGCTACAGACTTTAATTTCTATTAACTGTATGATCACTGAGGGAATATATTAGTGGGTTCCTACCTTTTGGCATACTGTCGGATTTATTCTAGTTATTGAACACCTGCTAAAAATAAAAGTTGGTACTAGGCACTGAAGGTAATTGAGAAGTTTCAGCTTTAGGCTAGGGGTGATATTTGCGTATCACACAATCAAACTTAAGTAGCTAAGCAAGAAACACAGGTGCCATTGACTAGAGGTTGGGAAGTGGGAGGAGATAGCATCTAGGGTAAGCACCGAGGCATGGCCAAGGGGAAGGAACTCTTACAACTGCCTTTGTGTAAGAAAATTTACTGGGAGAAAAGGATATCTTGAAGGCATAAGTACCAAAAGCGGGAGAAGCCAGGGCAATATGGAAGCAGGGCGGGGGTGGTGGTAGGGCGGTGGGGAGGTGACTAAAGCACTTTTAAGAAGGTGGAGAAATAACAAGCAATCTAAAGACATTTGTCTGCTTGAGATGAAGAGCTGAATTTCACACATGAGTTTACATCATGCTGTCAAAAACAAGATACTGAGATGACTCATAATGATTCATAATGTGAACTGATTTAACAGAAGCTGAAGCCAACTGTGACAATGAGAATATAAGCCTCTAGAACCTTGCAGAAATCTTAGAGCAGGCTTTAGGCAAAGCAGGAATAAGACTTCAAGTTCATCTGATGTAGCTCTCCTGGGGTGAAAGCCTCCAGGTTGACATCTACATTTCACTTTTAGCAACAGATGAGGGAAACGGGGCCCAGGACGCTAAGGCAGTGGTCCAAGGTCACATCACCAGTAGGTGAGACTTGCAAAGTCCTCTTGGTTTGCAGAATTTGGGGTGGTGAAAAGCACCAGTTCTGGAGTCAGACAATCTAGGTTCAAATGTTGTCTCTGCCACTTCCTAGCCATGTGACCTTGGGCACATTATAGAACCTTTCTGCGGTTCAGTTTCTTCCTCTTCAAAATAAAACAAGTACAGCATTGCAAATTATTGAGAGATTAAATGAGTCAATACATCTCAATAACAGGTTCACATCCCTTATAATTTTCACAATTCTGAAATCCAAAAGGCTCTGAAAACAAAAATGTTCTCATAAGTTTGCAGCAAATTATTTGGTGGCAAAATGTGACTTGAGACTGTGTCACCTTTATTCCACTTGATGGGATGCAGAGAAAATGTGCCTGATTTTAGGTTCTGACTCAGACTCTGCAGAGGGAGTTATACAATATGTAGCATAAGCACTATATTTAATCTCTAAAATCTGAAAAATTCGGATTTCTAAAACGCATACACCCTCAAGGCAATCAGATAAAGAATTGTGGACCTGCCCTTAGAACAATATCTATCTCATATGTAGGGTAAAAATGAGTTACCTATGCTCAGTAAAGCCCAGAGGGCTCATGTAATGCTACCAATTCCCTAAGCCCATTTTCTAGAAAGGATGAATGAAGAGACAGGAGTAATGGCAAAGGTCAACATAGGCAGTCATAGCTCTTTTTCATTAGTCAAATAAAGGTTGTTCTGGCTGTAACACAGTCTGTCCTAACCTCCTGAAATGGTTGAACACTCAATGCTGGGTATCAATCTGTAAACATTTATAAAATCAGTCAACAAGTATTCATTTAGCACCTACTGTATACTTGGTGATGTCGACACTACATGGTCCTTGTATACTTACCATGGAGATGAAGAAGACAAGGGTACAGTTAGGAAACAAAATGGTATGCAAAAATGCGCTAAATCACAGTGGCATAGGCTACATGCTGAGATCAAAGGGGCTTTATAAAGACAGTGGGATGAATTACAGACAGCTAGTTATATGATCTTGGGGTCTTGAGACTCAATTTCCTCATCTGTAAAATAGGATTGCTGTGAGGTTAGCAATATTTTATGTATAGTGCCAGATATATAAGTTGTGAACAAATATTATATTTTTTCTCTGTAAATTGGCTGTTGAGAAATGGTCAAGGCACTTGAGTGGGTATGAAGATGAATTGACTGTATGTTGCCTAGAGTACAGGTTGGATATGTTGAGGACATTGTCAGAACTTAGAAAGTGAGGCCAAGTAGAGTGACACAGTGGAGGGGAAGGGGAGGTTGGGCAGAGATATTATGGAAAGTCTTACCTTGAAGTAATGAGAAATAGGGACCTGTGAATAATTTTTGAGTAGGGAATAACATGATAAAAGAATAGTGCTGAAAATTATTATTTTTTGAAAGGTAGAGGGTTGGGAGGATTGGGAAGGTGGGAAGCAGCTAAGAGTGTAGAACTGCAATCCAGCACAGGCCTAGACTCTAGGAGGAGAGGGGTGAGTGGAAATGACATCTTTTGCACTGAGGGAAACAACAGAAAACTCTCATGGAGCATTGCTATTTACTACCCTAATAAAGTGTCTTATTGCAACTTGACAGGCAAGTACTGGGACAAATAAAAATTCAAAATTCTTCTACCTCTGCTTCTCAAAAAGAAGCTTATATACATGTACAGACTTGGCTCTTTGAGTATGGTGGTGGCACAGTGAAATATAAAGCATCTTCTAAACACAGCAGTAATTGTTCTGGCAGTTCAGAACAACCAGGGCTAGCTTGGCTGTAGCCTAAGGTCTTAGATGTCAGAGAAATCTATCCTGCCCTCTTAAAAAATTCAAGGTCAAACGTGTTTCTGCAGACACTTCCAACTTTTCCTTGTCCTGCCCTGGTTTTCCCTGGGAGATTTTATAGGCTAAAGAAGTCAGAGTGTGCTTCTTTGTCCCAGGGATGAAATGACTATCATGTGATGCGACGATTTCTTAGCCATTGAACATGAGAAGAATGTTCTTGAGATCATGGCTTCTGCACAGGAACAAGGACAGGTAGAGAGATATGCACTATGTTTTATTTGTACAAAATGTATTTTGGCAAGTTAAGTGATTTTCCCCCATTCTTTTTGTTATGGAGTACATATGGCTTACTATTCACTTCCCAAAGTCTCCTTGAAGCTAAAGGACTGCTTGAAGCCACTATGCAACTAATACTTAACAGTATTAACATAGCACCTGGCAGGTATTTAAAAATACGTTAATTGAACTTGAACCATTGGTGCAGTAAAGTAAATGTAACTCTTTCTATTTTCCATGTGTTATGGTTATAGAGATAGCCTTAATTAAAAAGAAATCAATCAACCTACTCCTTGGCCACCCACCCAAGGCCATAAAACACATTTGAAGGGGATCACGAAGGAAGGTGAAAGGTATTAAATACTGACTAGGAACAGTAATTTTTAAAAAATGATTGGAATATCTGGACTACATTTTTAAAAGTTGAAATTTATTTTACAAATATGCTCAACTGGGTATGCAGTGTATGCCTCTAGATTTGCTGATGAAACCCTCCTTAAGGAAGGCAGATGAAAACAAAATTTTACCGGAATTAGAGAAATGGAGTACTGTAGTGATTTATTGATTTATTTTGCCACCAAAGGCTTTTACCTGTTTGTTTTAAATGTTATCTGGTTAATTTTATGTTTAAAATTGGGCTAAGAGATGCTGGTAAAATACTATTCCTCGTGTCTGTGAGGGTTTCTGGAAGAGATTTGCATTTGAATCTGTAGACTGAGTAAAGATCAACTTCACAATGCTGGTTTGCATCATCCAATTCATTGAGGGTGTGAACTGAACAAAAAGGCAGAGGAAGGGCAGATTTGCTCTCTGCTTAAGCTGGGGCATCCCTCTTCTCCTGTCCTTGGACATCAGTGCGCCAGTTCTTGAGTCTTTGGACTGGGACTGAACTACACCACTGGCTTTCATGGTTCTCATTTGTAGATTGCATATCATGGGACTTCTTAGCCCTTATAACCACATTAGCTCAAAACTTTCTCCTCCTATTCAATTCCATATTGTCTTTTAAAATGAAGGCGTCACAAGATCTGTTGTGTGTGTAGTTTCTGGAAAGGTACCCAGGTGAGTATCAGGTGTACCAGGAACATTTCAAGTGCCACTTGTGTAGATTTGGTTGTGAAAATTCAGAACTGCACACTTAAAAGTGTCCCTGCCTCTCTTGGGCATGCACACACACACAATTTGAATACAAGGAAAATGTTATCACAGAATTTTAGGCAGCATTAAGTCCTATCATCTCTTTAGCACAGCAACTCTATTCATCTGCCCTTTACAGGCAGGCTTACCTCCTGCCACATTCCCATCACCGGAGGTTCGCTCTGTGGCTAGTAGGTCCTCTTACAATTCTGTCTTCAGACACTATCCTTTTTTCTTGGTACTTATCTTTTAGCCCATCTATAGCATCATCTCCTCTTGAAAGCTTTAACTTTCTCCTTCCCTCCTCTTCTGGCATTTCATGTTCTTCTCTGTTATTTCTATCATCCTCTTAGAAAACAACAGTGAACACTGCAGTAACCTTGCTTTAAAAGTTCATCTTTTTGGCTATGCTTTTTATAAGCAATGAATTGTACATACAATCCAGTATTGTTTCACTGCTACTGGAGTTTTGAGATATCATTCCAGGTTCACATCCAAGGATGTTATGTAATTTTTGTTGGTATATCTCATATGACAATGTCCCCACATTACAATGAGGCAAACAGCCAGAGCTTCTGCTAAGCAAGGTAACCATACACAAAACAGATGCAACTCCAGCAAAAAGCACAATGTGCTAGTGTGCATGCAAACTGCAAAGTATGAAGAATATACTTTGCACTAAGCTTTTCAAAATACTGAGAACAGGTATAAGAACCTCATTATTATTTGAGACCATGGCCTCTGAACCACTAGTGGACTAGTAAAACGGGGGAGATTTAGGGCAGGAGGATAACTGAGACATCAAATGCACTTTCAGTAGCTTTTTATGCTTTTCATTGGGCTACAAACTGTTTTTGAAAAGTTAACTATATGCTAACTATGAGCACCTAATTTGAATAGGAGAGTGCACAATTTCTACATGTATACTAGAACACTGACATTTACATGTGCACACACACCTATTCTAAGATTTAAGTTTGGAGGTGACATTCAGAAGGTCTACAATATTGAAGAAAGGGAGGTTTTTTCCTCAAGCTATTAGGAAGTTAGAATTGGAGTTCTGGTGTTTTGGAATTCCATATTCAGAAACTAAAAAAATTGTATTTAACCTTAATTGAACTAACCCAGGAAAGGTAACTTACAGGCACACCTCATTCTATTGGTTTGCTTCATTATGCTACTCAGATACTGCATTTTTTCACATATTGAAGGTTTGTGGCAAACCTGTGTCAATTCTATTCATTCCGTTTCTCTAAAAGTATTTGCCCACTTTATGTCTCTGTCACACTTTGGTGATTCCTGCAATATTTCAAATATTTTCATTATTGTGTTATGCTAATCTGATCAGTGATTGACTCGTTCAAAGCTCAGATGATGGTTAGCCCTTTTTAGCAATATTTTAAAATTAAGGTATGTACATTGATTTCTTAGACATAATACCACCGCACACTTAAGTGCAAACATAATTTTTATATGCACTAAGAAACCAAAAATTAATTTGACTTGCTTCACTTCAATTATCTGCTTCATTGCAGTGGTCTGGAACCAAATACACAATATCTCCAAGGTATGCCTGTAGTCACAGGTAGAACAAGTGAGAGCAATTTCTTTTAAATCTTGATCCTAATTTTTTGAGAATTTTAAAAATGTTTATTTTTGAGAGAGAGAAAGAGAGAGTGAGTGGGGGAGGGGCAGAGAGAGAAGGAGAGACAGAATCTGAAACAGGCTCCAGGCTCTGAGCTGTCAGCACACAGTCTGATACAGGGCTCAAACTCACTCACTCAGGAGTGAGATCATGACCTGAGCCAAAGTTGGACCTGAACTGACTGAGCCACACAGGCACCCCAATTCTAATTTTCAAAGGCAGTATTTGACAGGATAGATTTTGCACTAAAGTAATAAAGAACTCTTACACAAAGCAAAAAACAAAACAGGTTTAATGATTAGAACAGATGAATTAGTAGGTTTATATAACCATTAACTAAGGGAAACCCTAGAACCAGAAATAAGGATTTTAAAATTGCATGCAAAGTCTAGTTACCATAAAAACCAAAGCAATACCAAAATATCTCAGCTTCCTAGCATAGACTCCAGATATTCTTTATTTCCAACTCTTGGTAATCAAAATATGTACACTTTTGCATGCTACTGGTAGTGGAGGAGTAAGATTATTTGTATAGGACTACAATTATGTTTCACAGTTGGGAGGGCACACAAAGAAGTGTCTTCCTCCACTTTGTTGGGCCCATCTTAAAAAAAGGCACTCCCTAAGGTTCCTTGGTAACACCTTTGCTAGGTTTCTTAATTACTCACATAATCTTTACGTGTAAAATTACTGGTCCACTCATTTCACAGATCTGGGAACCACAAGGCATTGGAACTGCTTAACTCACATGCCAAAAAACTGGCTTTCTTAAGAAACGACCAAAACTTTGGAGAAGCAGTTAAAAAAAGAAAGGAAAAAAAAACCAAAAACCAAAAAACACCTGGGGCTTTGTTTCCTTGAAAATGTAATCATATGCTTAATTACTAGGTTTTGGCATGCACAGCCAGACACATCATGGAACTGAAAGAACCACCATATAATGGTGGCAGAGGACTTTCTTGAATAATTACGCTACTTTTCTACCTTCAGCTTCCTTGTACCAATGCAACTTTGTCCTTCTCCCCTTTTTAATTACAACACCAAGTGCTCTGAACCTGGGTTTGACCTCTCTGCTGAAAGATGTGTTAGAAAAGGATGCTTATTTTTTTTTTTTTGAAAAGGATGCTTAAATAAATTACTGAGTCTTTCTCTATGATCATCAAAACAAAGAGTAATGGAAGTCTTGAGCTGCCTGTGGGCAGTTGTCCACTATTCACAGAATCTTCAGAAACAATTTGCCTGAGGTCAAGGAGAATTTATCACTAAACCTGACTCATGTTGAGCCATACTGAAACCGCACTTGGGTAGCTAGTCTCAAGTCAAACTGCGCTCGAACATTTCTTGACATTTATTGCATCCACGTAGAGTGCAATTTTTGATGCTGAATCAGAGATATGCGGCAATTGAAGGCTTCACCACAAGCATCACATTCGTGGGTTTCTTGGGTTTTCACCTCTGCGTGGATCTTCTGATGGTTGACAAGGCTGCGCTGTTGACTAAAACTTTTGTCACACTTCTCACACTTGTAAGGTTTCTCTCCTGTGTGTATTCGCTGATGCTGAATAAGGCCTGAGTTCCGGCTAAAGGCCTTCCCACATTCATCACATTTATGGGGTTTATTACCTGTGTGAACACCCTGATGTCGAATAAGGTTACAAAGTTGACTAAAGCTTTTGCCACACTGTCTGCATAGATAAGGTCTCTCACCAGTGTGGATTCTCTGATGTTCAATAAGAAATGAGCTCCGACTGAAGCTTTTCCCACATACAGTACATAGATAGGGCTTTTCACCAGTGTGTATTCTTTGATGTTGTACAAGATGAGCACTGACACTAAAAGTTTTCCCACATTCATCACATTTATAAGATTTTTCCTTGGGATAGACTTCCTGCTGTATAACAAGACTGCAATTTGGATCAAAACTTTCCTTAGTTTCATTGTATGAGTAAGTCTTCTCTCTGGTGTGGATTCTCTGATGCTGAATAAGACCTGAGCTTCTACTAAAGGCTTTTCCACATTCCTCACATTTATGGGGTTTGTCTCCTGTGTGAATTCTCTGATGACGAGTAAGGTTGCACAGTTGGCTGAAGCTTTTCCCGCACTCTTTGCACTGATAAGGTCTTTCACCTGTATGGATCCTTTGATGTTCAATAAGAAATGAGCTCCGACTGAAGCTTTTTCCACATTCAATACAAAGAAAAGGCTTCTCACCAGTGTGGATTTTTTGGTGTTGTATAAGGTATGTACTTAATCTAAAAGCTTTTCCACATTCACCACATTTATGGGGTCTTTCCCCAGTGTGAATTCTCTGATGTTCAACAAGTAATGAATTTCGACTAAAGCTTTTCTTACATTTGGTACAGTGATAGGGTTTCTCACCAGTGTGAGTTCTCTGATGTTCAATAAGGTGTGATTTCCAACTGAAGGCTTTCCCACAGTCACTACATTTATGGGGTTTCTCACCTGTGTGGATCCTTTGATGTTTAACAAGGCTCCTTCTCTGGCTGAAGCTCTGTTTACACTGATTACACTGATAGGGTCTCTCTCCAGTGTGGATTCTCTGATGTCTAATAAGGGTTGAGCTCACACTAAAGGTTTTTCCACAATAATTACACTCATAGGGCCTTTCCCCAGTGTGAATTCTCTGATGTTCAATAACAAACGAACTGCGACTAAAACTTTTCCCACATTCATTGCACTGAAAAGGCTTCTCACCAGTATGGACCCTTTGATGTTGAATGAAATGGGCCTTGCGGACAAATCCCTTTCCACATTCTTCACATTTATGGCATTTCTCTTCTGGGTTTGGTCTCTTACGAATAATGTTAGTATTTCCTCTGAACATTCTCTGTTCCTGGGCCAAAGATTCCCTTGGTATTTCCCATAAGAAGATTCCTCTCTGTTTATCTAACCTACCAACAAGTTCAAAGGTTTCTCTACCTATGGGATCTTGGTCAATTTCACTTTTGATTCTTGTAACTATTACACCCTGTGGTTCCACTTCTTCCTCAATTTCCTCAATTTCTTGTTTTACAGTTGGCTCCTCATCCTTATCTCTGTTTAAAACATCTGGAATAATAAATAGAAAATAGAAAGATTAGCCAGGCTCTTTGCTAGCAAGGAGAAATGCTTAGGAAAATAAGATTAAGATAAATTAATCCACTACATCTATAAAATGTGGATGATTACTTCACAGTATTGTTGTAAAAATTAAATTAGTTCCTATACATAAAGCATTTAAGACCATACCTGGCAAAGAATACAAGCTATGTAAATATTATTATTAGTTATCTGATGAAAAGTTTTTCTTAGAGAAGGGGTGTGAAGAGTGTTGTTTTTTTAACGGAGCAAGCTTTGAAGTTTTAATTTTTTTTAGTAATCTCTACACCCAACATGGGACTCAAACTCACAACCCCAAGATCAAGAGTCACATGTTCCTCTGAATGAGCCAGATGGGTACCCAGAAAAGAGTGTTTTTATGAGGCAAATGATAAGTTAGTGGGGGTAAGCAGAGTTGGGAGGAAGGGCTGGTGATCAACAGAGAATTATGCAAGGTAAGATGGGCCAACAATGAAATAAAACAAATAGTGGTGTGATGAATTAGTCTGTCAAAGAAGAAAGGATGACACAGGAAGAAAACAGTAGGTTCTGGGAAATTTGGGATGAAACAACATTGCTGGAGTGTGAGTAGATTAAGTAACTGACAGAAAGGAACACAAAATGATGTTGAGAAAGATAAAAGACAAAAACCCGGAAGCAACAATTAATAAGAATTTACTTATTAAATAAAAAAATAAAAATAAAATTAAAAAAAAAAAAGAATTTACTTATTGCAATCAAAAGCATGCCAGGCATTGTGTAATGATTCAGTATTCAAAGATAAGACATGAAACTTCCTACCAAATAAAATGGATGACAAGTATACTGGGGAAAGAAAATAAAATGGTAAAGTATTAAGTAAAGCAATTCCTGTATCAAGAGACAAAACAGCTTTAAAAAAATGGGTTGGAGTGACATGGAGTCTATGATATAGAATGACAAAAATAAATACAAAGGAACACAGTCAAGGTTAATGAAAGAAACAGAGAAAAACAGTGTGTGGTAACCTCACCTACCACAAATCACCCCACGTTCTTCAAGTATACATGATTCTTACTCTTCCAAAGATGTAAGAGCCACATTGGAACCATCTGGTTCCAACCGAGAGTCTCTAAGACATCTGAGAAATGAAAATCTTGCATGTGTTAAGGAAAGATAACATAATGGTCTACAATGTAAACAGAGTGGCATATAGAACACTTAAGTCTGCCTCTGACTTCTTTCTTTTCTCTCTTGCTTTCTGCTGGAAAATTCCACATATTTGGTTGATCACTACCAAATATATATTTGGCCCTAAACAATTTCCTTTTTTAGACTTCCTCTTTTCTCTTAATTTTCTAACCTTCTACCTTTGGAGTCATCTTCGAATTTTCTTTTCACTCACTTTAAACCAGTCATTAAGTTATTTTATTCCAAAAAGCTTTCTCTTATTCCTCTAAGAAACTAGTAGAAACTTTATTTTTGCTTATACTACTTACAGTCTTCTCTCTCAAATTCACTTCACTGGACTGCTTTCTTTCACACAATGAAAAAGGATCAAAGAACTCCCTCAACTTTCTGCCCCCTTCCCATAAAATTATATGCAATGGCACATGAAGATCTATCCCATTCCTATCCAAGCTGAATTCATCTACGTTCTCTTTATCCCACTGTCTCTGAGTGTTTGTTCAATTATTAGCATTTTTCCCCTTTCTTCCATCTGTACTCTCCATTGTCCAATATATCAACATGCATACAAATATGCTCAGCATACAAATATGTCCAACTATATCTTGAACTTGAAATCCTTCTCTTAATGAAATCCAAATTTGTGAAATAAAATTTTAACTCTGTAGCTCTCCATTTCCCAACTATGTTTTCCATGCCCAACATCTTCCCATTCAATCTGTTCTATAACCTACTGTGAAATCTGGCTTTGGTTTCCGGCATCTAGAGATGCTTCTTATGAAATCACCAATAACTCTTGAATAACAAATACAACAAACATTTTTCAGTCCTTTATTCAGCAGCATCTGACACTGTCGATTATTCCCATTTTGAAACTATCTGTTTTTGGTTTCTATGCTGTTGCTGTATTTGGTTTCTATGCTGTTGCTGTATGCTGTATGTATGTATTGTTGTATGTTGCATTTTTCTAGTCCCCTCCCTACTTTTTCTTTGGCCTTTTCTAAAAAATCTCCTTCATGTATTTTTCTTCCTTTGTCAACTGCTGTTTGACAAGGTTACTGTTACCAATAATGTTTACATTCCTTTCTTTTAAGCTTATTATTTATTGAGAGAGAGAGAGAGAGAGAGAGAGAGAGAGAGAAAGAGAGAGAGAGAAGAGACACAGAATCCCAAGCAAGCTCTCCACTGTCAGTGCAGAGCCTGACAGGAGGGCTCAGTCTCACAAACTGAGCTCATGACCTTAGCCGAAGTCAAGAGTTGGATGCTTAACTGACTAAGCAACTCAGGTGCCCCACCCATGTTTACATTCTTACCTTGCTCTATATTCATACTCACGATATCGCCACTTACATGCCTCAAAAAGGGCTTGCAATTAACATGATCCTCATCATGTGCTGTCATGTAGGTCTCTACCTCTAATTATCTTCTCTTAACGGGCATCCTCATCCATTACCCAAAGTAGAAAATCTTCCTAGATTTCTCCATTTTTCTTTTTGTTACCCAATCACCAAAACCAAAGATCTGACTCTCTAGCATCTACCTTCTTCCCATGTTTTCTCTGGATGATGCAAAAGCCATCTAATAATCCTTCACTCTAGTCTTTAAGCTGCCCCCACACTGTACCTACTTAGCTGCATCCAGAGAGATGTACAAGAAATGGAATTCCAGTCACATCACCACCTGTAGGTTCACTAGTACTCTATCATCTCTAGGATCAAATCAAAGCTCTTTACATTATGGTACTCAGTGCTTCACAACAGGTTCTCTAAACCTCAAGTCACCCTTCTACCCACTTTCTCACACTGGAATTGGGCAAATTGCTTATGTTAATGTTTTATACCATTTCATTGCATATCTCGTCTACTAAATGTCCCCCAGCATTGTTTACCTGGCCAACTCTTGGTTGCTCTTTAGGACTCAATTCAAAGCAACAGTTCCTCCACAAAGCCTTCACTAAGTCCACTAGACAGATTAGGTGTTCTGTTTTTTATCACCAGTCCTCATCCACAACTGTATTACAGCTATTACTGCCCTGCTGTTTTAACTGTTTGTGTTCGTCTCTTCTATGGGTTTGTAAATTCCTTGTGAGAAGGGGAAGACTCTTTTAATGTTTACCCAGTGGTTACTGTTCCAGGGGTTTTACTCAAAGGAGTAAGACAAATTCTTATTTGCAGACAATATGAATGTCTAACTAAAATTTCTAGAAGAATTAAGTGAAATATAATAGCAACATGAAGACTAAGCTATAAAATAAATACTGGTACTTACTACCAAGGATAACCAGTTGGGAAATGTTATAGAAAAATAAAATATGCTTTTCATGAAAACAAAACCATAAAACCTATAAATAAATCTTACAAGAACTGTATGAGATCCACAGAGATAAACCATAAACTTTTTCTGAAGGACTTAAGACAGACAAATAGAGTCAACCAAATTGCTAAAGAGATTCAATATTATAAGGATCTTAATTCTTCCTAAAACAATCTATGAACCCAACTGTATTCCAATCAAAATCTTATGAACTAATTAAAAACCCCAATGAATCTAAATTTCAACTGGAAGAATGCAGAAAACTAGCTAAGTGTATCCTGGAAAATATAAGAGAATGATTTATCATGCTAGATATAAAATGCAATATATTGCTAAGTAAAATAGAGATGCTCTGGTACAAAAATAAACAGGTCAAACAGATAGGTAAAGAAAACAAGTGACTTCAGTCTTGTACACAAAGCAGCACAGAAAGGACTATCTGTGAGATCTGGGCTTGTTAGCTATAATCACCTTCTGAGGTCTCTGCCATGCTTGTCTTATGTTCCCATCCTGTGATCGTAGCTAATTTGTCTAGAGTACCGCTGACTCAAAGTGCATCTCTCCCAGGAATTTGGAATTAAAAATGAAATATGCAGTTATTCTGAACATGACAGAATTGTAACCTATCAACTCAGAAGCTATAGGGACAAAAGCATGTGGATATGAGGAGGAAAGACTAATCTACCAAGGAGAAAGAAACAAAATGCAAGGGTTAATCACTGACTTCCTGAGCGCACCAATTTTTGGGTTTAGTCCTTTTCTGATATCCAGTTACAATCATGCTTATATATCCTATGAGCCACCTATGTCCCTATAGTAAGTTCTCTTGTTGGCTTAAGCTAGTTTGAGTTGATTCCTATAATCTTTAATCCGTTTTAATAATATGCTAGCTGAGGAGAGAGACAAAAAGCAAGGAAATGGTAAAGTGGAAGTGGCTAAACTTTAGGAAAGAACAAGAGTTACCACACATTTTCTGAAAAGGGCCAGACAATAAATATTTTTAGCTTTGTTAGCTAAAAATGGTCTCTGTTGCAACTATTCAACTCTGTCACTATAGCGTGAAAGTAGTGTCAGATAATACACAAAGGATTGGGCATGTCCATGTTCCAATAAAACTTTATTTATAAAAATGGACAGTGCCAGATTTGGGCTGTGGACCATAGTTGCTAACCCTAGTATCTAAAAAAGTATAAAAAGAACAGTTTTCTTGGTAAAAGAATGACAGAATGGGGAAGACTTACATTCTTAACGCTAGCACAGTGCTTGATTAACTATTTATTGAATGGATGAGTAGTTGAACAAATAACTGAAAAGAGACTATAATCAAAGAACTGAAGCAATGAGATTAAGGTCTTACAGGTACAGCAATTCCCAATTCTGTCAAGGTCCAATAAGGTTCAAGCAGACTGAAAAGGAGTCATTAAAATTAAAGAAGTCCAGTTCATTTCAAAGAACTGAGATCAAGCTGTCAGCTGTATTATCAATGTTGTTACTAAAGCTTTTAAGTAAAAGTCAGCATGGAAAGGAGAAAGGTATTAAATAAAGGACCAAAATTAAAACTGGAAAAGTATTGTATTAAGTAAAGCAGCAAGATGAAGTGCAGGAAAACACTTTATTAGAAAAGTTAAGGGGGCACCTGGGTAGATCAGTCATTTAAGTGTCAGGCTTTGGCTCAAGTCATGATCTCGCGGTTCGTGATTTTGAGCCCCGCATTGGGCTCTGTGCTGACAGCTCAGAGCCTGGAGACTGCTTCAGATTCTGTGTCTCCTCTCTCCTCTCTCTCTCTCTCTCTCTCTCTCTGCCTCTCCCCCACTCATACTATGTCTCTCTCTTTCTCTCAAAAATAAATAAACATTAAAAAAATTAAAGAAAAAAAGGTTAAGTAATTGTGATTTTTCATCAAGGGAATGGAGACAGAGTCTACAAAGGAAGATGAAAAGATTGTGGAGGAAGAAAGAACTGATAAAAAGCTGTAGTTCAGCTAAAATGAGAGCCTGAAAGTAGATCACAGATGGGCTCACTGCCATGCCTTCATCCATATGGTACTCACATTTTACAGTAGTAGGGACAGGCAAGACTGGGCATTTGCCTGGTTCTATCAACCAGGATACCATATGTGTGGATAAAGCTGGCAGTGACTCAGAGACACCATGGCATATTGGGAGAAAAAAATCAGCAGCTGATCTGGCTAGAGACTGAAGTGGTGTGCAGGAAATAATAGATGATGTTAGAAAGCTAGGCAGGGGCTATTTAGAGAGGCCCTGGTAGGTAGGACAAGAAATTAAATTTTTTATTAAGCTCTCAGGAATCAGAAATTGTAAGCAGTTAACTAACAAAATCACTTTGGTGGCAGTGAATAGAATGTATTAAAAGAAAGGGAGTTGGAGGCAAGAGGCTAGTTTACGGGCTAATGCAATAATCTGTTCAAGAGGTACCGATCTTTTTCTTGTTTTTATGTTTATTTAAATTTGAGAAAGAGAGAAAGGGAAAGATAGTGTGTAAGTGGGGGAGAGAGGCAGAGAGAGAGACACACACAGAATCCGAAGCAGGCTCTAGGCTCCGAGCTGTCAGCACACAGCCTGATGCAGGGCTTAAACCCACGAAATGCGAGATCATGACCTGAGTCAAAGTTGGATGCTTAACCAACTGAGCCACCCAGGAGCCACAAGAGGTTCTGAGTCTTAAGTATAGTAATTCAGTTATACAAATATTTAAAGGCATATAACATATACCTGGTTCTGTGCTAAGTGCTGGAGAAATCAAATGAAAAAATATATAGTTACCATCCTCATGGAGACCAGTCTGGTTAGAGAAATAACATAAAGAATGACTAGAGTACAGTCATTTGATAAATTGATTGTAAACTGTGCATACAGTTGAGAAATTCAACATAAGTGCAGCACAGTGCAATACAGGGCAGCACAGAGAAAGGAGTACTTAATTCTGAAGAGAAGGGCCTTGAGATCTTAATGGATTATTTGACACTGGCCAGCTGTGAGTTATTTATGTGGTCTTCAAAAGGAGATGATGAAGATTTTGGAGCTCTTAGAGAAGATAATAGGTATGATGACGATAGCAATCAACATTTATATTATACTTAGTACATGCTAACCAGTGTCCTAAGTGCTTTACACATATTAACTCAGTACTCACAGTAACTCTAAGAAGTAAGTGCTATTATTACTGCCAGTGGGTAAAAAAGCAACAGGCATGGAAAGGTTATATAATTCACCCATGGTCACAAGGCTTCTAAGTGGTGGAACCAGGACTTTTGCTTAGGCAGTTAGGCTTCAATTGCTTCTCTTAGGTAGAGATAAAGATCTGGGACTCATCACAGTGGTAGGTGATGACCTGACTATAGATGAGGTTCACCAAGGAAAGCACATAGATGGAGAGGAAGGCAATACAAGTAAGCAATAAAGAGCTTCAAATACATAAAGAGAGGTGAAATAAAATAAGGTCCAAGTGTCTTTTCCATTTGACAATTAGGCTATTAAAGTAGAATGTTAAACAATTTAAGGGGAAGGGTAGAGGCAAGAGAAGGGGCTTAGAGATAATGGTAGGGAAAGTAAAGAATATACATTAACTACTCTTACAAAAACTTGGCTGTAAGTGAACAAGGAGCAGGTTACAGGCTCTCTCAAAGGACAGCCACCCCCCCGGCCCTACCTTCCCCAACTGGAAGAGTCGTAAACATACCCATCACCAAAATAAAGGTACCAGAGGAGAAGGAATAGAGACTGAAGTTGTAAGGGGGAGAAAAAAAAAAAGATGACGGATAGGTTCTTGGAAAAGTGAGGAAAAAGGAGCAGACTTAAGCATACACACGAGGGGCAGAAAGTTAGAGTTCATATTCAGTGGCCTCTATCTTCTCTGTGAAACAGAAAGTGAGGTCTACTACTGAGTGATGGACCCAAGGAAAACTTTTTTAAGTTTTTGGAATAGTCACTAAAGGGAAGAAGAGAACGAGCAAATCAATGATAAAAAATTGGCTGAGATGTGAAAACCCACTGGAGACTATTAGAAAAGCCATGCATATATCCAGGGCATTAATCCTTTCAGTTAAACAATTTCCCCTGCTGTGCTTGGCAACTCAGGAGAAAAAGCTGATGTTATAACCAATACAGAATATGAAGTTTGCAGAATGGGTAGAGCACAATGACAAGGTGGCAAGAGAGCATGCTGGTGATAACTCATATGTAGGTCCATGGAACAGATGAAGAGGTGAAGTTAGAAGAGGACTGATAATCTGGGAGGAAAAAGGAGAAATCAAGGAACAAGTAGCATGACTGGGAATAAGCTGGTTTGGGAGGAAACGAGTAGGAGATGTAGAAGCGTAAGAAATTGTAGTAAGCTCTACATGGGCAGAGATCATGTCTGTTTTAGTCACCCCTGTTTAGTTATGGTCTAAGATAAAAACAATGGCTGAAGAATTTTCAAAGACTAAGATACTGGGGTTTAAGATTTGCCTGCCTTAAAAAAAAAAAATTTATAAAAAAAAATTTAAAAAAAAGGGGCGCCTGGGTGGCGCAGTCGGTTAAGCGTCCGACTTCAGCCAGGTCACGATCTCGCGGTCCGGGAGTTCGAGCCCCGCGTCAGGCTCTGGGCTGATGGCTCAGAGCCTGGAGCCTGTTTCCGATTCTGTGTCTCCCTCTCTCTCTGCTCCTCCCCCGTTCATGCTCTGTCTCTCTCTGTCTCAAAAATAAAATAAACATTAAAAAAAAAAAATTTATAAAAAAAAAAGATTTGCCTGCCTTGACAAAATTGAGGGTTTGATCACTGATGGGATTTGCTGAACAAAAAAGGAAAGCAAGGTTCCTGAAGACAACGTGGTCAGGATATAGCAAGACTTAAATAATGGCTGCATCATTGATGGCATAGGTTAGCATAGAGAGATTCTGAAATGTGACAAAATCTACGTGTGACAGACCAAACAATGTTGGCAGATGACAGCAGAAGAGAACTGGGTGGGTAGAGCAAGACTGCTGGAGCCTCCAAAGGGAGATTTTGTTTGAAGGGTTAAAACTAACGCTTTGAGAACAACACTGAAAAGCCAGGAGAAGAGTAACTTCTCCCTTCCAGCCTTGAGACAAAGGATAGGGAAAAAGGAGGATGTGGGAGAGTAAGCAGCCTCTGCCAGAGAAGTGGTGTCCTTGGGAAAGTGCCAGTTTTCAGTTAAGGCCAGGAAGGGTAAGGAACATTATGTGAAGAAGAACAGGGGCTCCAGAAGGCAGAGTGAAAAGGGGTGGGAGGAAAGCAGTGGGAGGATGAGCCAGGAGGGAAAGTGCAGAGCAGTATGGGAATGAGATTATGAAGATAAGAAGCCAGAAAGGCTTGTATTTTGGTTTTTGCAAGGACACTACAGACGAGAGTCATGGAAACAATTAATGGCCAAAATGTTTGAATCTGAACTTTGGAACAAAGCAGTTTTGGTACTCGTGGTGGTTCAAGTGTTCTCAGGGTCTGATTTCTTATAGCTTCTTAGATATTTTAATCAGAGAAACAAAAGATTCTTACCCAGTGAGACCAGGTTTCCATAATTCTCCATCATGACATCTTTATACAGGCTTCTCTGAGCTGGATCCAGATAATCCCACTCCTCCTGGGTAAAAAACACAGCCACATCCTCAAATGTCAGCAACCCCTGAAATAGTACGATTTCTGTAGTCAGTTCTTGTTGTCTCAAGGACAATTCTACCACTGAAAGTAGCCGAAGCAATCACTTATCAGAGCCGGGTAGGCTAGGAGGAACATGATTACCCAGAGATCCAAATTGGGCCCAATTCTGTATCAGATAAGCATCTCCAACTAGAGGGCAACTGAACTGGATCCTGGTCGTCAGTAGTGATGGTCCTAAGGATAGAGCTTTTCTGGCTGAATAATTATACCCTAACATTTTTATTTTAGTAAGTTGCCCCAAGGCCTCCCCAAGTTTCCTGCACCTCATTGCCCGGCTCCATCCAACTCTATTAGCAGTGGCTTGAGACCCTGTTCAATTCAATTGCAGGAAGTTCTCTAAGCGTCTACCTGGGGTCCTAGCTTCGTGACAGGCGCACAAGACACAGGGAAGAGTCAAAAATGGTGCCTCATCTGGAAGAACTCACAAATGAGAGCGCTTGTTTGCAGCATTACTAATTTTCTTCAGCTAATTTATCAAGTCGCTCTTGAAACGAAGGGCCAAGTGGGCGATTTGGTCGCGAGGCGCAATCCGGACCACTACGAAGTACTTCCTTGCACAGCGCTGGCCTTAAAGACCACGGTCGTGGGGATGGGGGTGGGGGGGCAGGGTGGGTAGCGCGGCCTAGCTCCAGTAGTGGCCAGAGAACAGGGATACCCAGAGGAGCGACTTACCTTTGGCTCCGGCGGGGGGCTCGGGGAGGCCATCTCCAGGACAGAAAATTAGGACGGGAACCCGGGAAAGTCGCAAGGAAAGGAGCTTCTCGTGAGGCCTACCCGGCCGTTGGAAATTAGGCCCCACGAAGGCGAGGCCTCCAGGCTGGGTCTGGCCAGGTCCTGCCTCGGTCCCAGAGCGGTCACGACCCCAGCAGCATATCAGACCCACTACTTGGTTGTCCCCCAACGCCAAATTCCCTCCCCACCTAGCTGCGCAGCCTTCCAGGCCTCACTAGAGCCTCCTCCCAGTTGCCAGTTCCTCCTCCTTTCAGCCAAGGAGCGCTATGACCGTCCGCCCCCGGACCAGAAGGCGTCACCCGGAACCTTCCCGGGACGCCCCCCAACTACAACTCCCGTCGTGCTCTGAGAGCGCGCCTCGGTCCAGCCTCCGCCGGCAAGACCCATCGGACTACATTTTCCGGCGTGCAAAGCGGGAGGGAGCCTCTGGGGAGGCTTAACAGGAAAAAGGGAACACCTATCACTAAGCTTACACTTGATTGGCTGGTCTTGGCGCGTCACTGCCGGCTGGGGGCAGAGCCCCAGCCGGTAGCTCTCCTCCGAGATGGCGGCGCTGTCAGTGTCTGGCGTTACCAGAAGAGGCCTGACGTGGATAGTCTTAGGGGCACCACGCAGAGAATTTTGGTCTCGATTCAGGTAAAGCGGAAGGTTAGATGGTGGGTCTCGTTCAGCGAAAGTGAGAGAAACTGAGGAGGATGAAAGGACGAATTCAAAAGTGGGAGTCCTGCTATTAGGACGGTACCCTGGCCCTGCGCCTGACTTGGGATAGGACGAGAAAGTACGTTAGGTTCTGAGTTCAGAGGCTTCAGCGCGGGTGTCCTTGAGTGGTGGGGCCCAGTCTTGGCCTCAGTTTTCTCATCTTATACCGGAAATGCCGCCCCCTTTCCCTTCCACTTAACTCGTTAGTGTAGTAAGCAGACAGTACTGACCATGTGTTCCAGGCACCGACTGGTACCAGGATACAAGTGGTTCGTTTGGAACGAGTAACATGGAACATGAACGTGAAAGTGCTCGGTAAACTAAGTGCATTTGCGCGGGGTATTTCTTCACAAGCTAGATTCAGAAATGAAGCGTGGCCTCCTCGTTTTTTTCGTTTGTCCATTCATTGATTCATTAACAGTTATTAAACGCCCTCTCTGGCCCAGCATTTCCCTAAGTAGGTTACAGCAGTGGAAGCAAAGTCCCTTCTCAGAGCTTAAGCGCTCTGGCATATGGGGAAACGGTGGCCCCATAGGAAGTATTTTGCTGAAAGCAAGTTAATGGCACAGCTGGAACCAGTCTTCGACTCTCCATCTACTGCTTTTCCCCAACACGGGGCTCAAACCCACAAACTGCGAGATCATGACCTGAGCCGAAGTCGGACGCTCAACCGACTGAGCCACCCAGGCGTCCCTCTTCTCTTTTCTTTTCTTTTCTTTTCTTTTCTTTTCTTTCTCTTCCTTCCTTCCTCCCTCTCCCCCTCCCTCCCTCCCCTTCCTTCCTTCCTTCCTTCCTTCCGTACTTCGTCCTTCCTCCCCCCCACACATCATTCATTTCTGATGCCTCCCAATTTTTGTAGTGATGACCAGTCCTAGTCAGATACCAGCTCCATGGAAAACAAGAGTGAATAATATTTCACTAAGCACTGAAATAGTGTCTTAGGCAGATTTCCTCACTTTGGCCCATGTACTCAGTAGTAGTTATTCAAGCAGTTTTCAAAGGACCCCAAATCAATAAAACAGGTTTCTGTATTCAGGAGTTTATAATCTGGTACAGTGGTTCTTAACCAGAGATAATTTTGCCTATCGGGGCGTTTGGCAATGTCCTTTGGTTATGACTGGAGCATAGGAGTGCTCCTCGCATTTACCCTGCCCTGGGTAGAGGCCAGGGATGCTGCTGAGCATCTTGCAATTACAGGATAGCCTCGTACAACAAAGAATTATCTGGTCCAAAATGTCAAGTGTTTGGGCTGAGAAACCATGATCTAGTAAGAGAAATAGAATGTAAGTAAATAAAACTCTGGTACGATGAAGTGTGCTGTGAAAGCAATATAAAGCGCTATACTAGATCAGAGGAATTTATATTTGGAGAAATCAAGTAAAACTCCTTGGGAGAGAACAGTTCTGTTCTAGGACTTAAAGTAAGATTTCAATAGGCAAAGATGAAATTGGCATCTCCTGTAGGACGTAACTTGAGGTAACACATGACCTCAGGAAAGTGGGAAACAGAATGTAGTAGTTTAGTGTGGGTAGGGCATGGAGTGTTTCTAGTAGATTTGTAGGACATGAGGTTAGAGCGGTTGGTTGGGTTTGGAAACTGGGAATCCCAGACAGGCGATTTACCTCTTTACGTGTTCTTAGGAATTCTTACACCATGTGAAATCTGTAAGTAGCTTTTCTTTTCTGTCTGTATCAGCTCAGTTCAACTATAAGCTTCCAAAGGCAGGCACCTATCTTATTCTTCTCTCTCCAGTGCCCAGAAGAGTAGTAAGTGTGCAAATTATTGGTTGATTTAGATAGATGGGTAAGATTAGGTCTGGTGTTTGTCAGTTTGTCAGCTGCATTAGTGCAGTTAACCAGAGATTCACGTACTTGTTTTTGACCATTCTAGAAAAGAGAAAAAGCTAGTGGTGGCTGAGACAGTAGAAGAAGTGAAGAAAGAGCCTGTTTTGGTGTGTCCACCCTTAAGAAGCCGAACATACATACCACCTGAAGATCTCCAGAGTCGTTTGGAATCTTGTGTCAAAGAAATTTTTGGTTCCTCTGTTGGTAATAGTTGGCAGGATGTGTCCCTGGAAGATGACCTTCTGAAGTTCAGTTTCTTGGCACGTTTAGCTGATGACTTGGGCCATGCAGTGCCCAACTCCAGGCTTCACCAGATGTGCAGGGTCAGAGATGTTCTTGATTTCTATAATGTGCCTATTAGGGATCAATCTAAATTTGATGAACTTACTGCTAGTAATCTGCCTCCCAATGTAAAAATCACTTGGGGTTACTGAGCAGAAGAGGAGCTCATTAAGATCATTTTGTCCTGAGCAAGGGGGCTGGTTATTAATTAGACTTTTGATACGTTACCATGTGAAATGCTATCAGAACTGTTCTCTAAACCCACTTTTTCTGTGGAAGGATGAATTATCTCTTTTTCTCATCATGAATTAACAAGATTTTCTTTTTTCACGTTTGCTGGAACTTTGTTTTTTTAATGGAATCAAGTCTTTAATCATGTATGAAAATTTCCTTCTTTGGAGGACACTGTAATTAAACTTGGGTTTAAGATACAAGGCTATTATATGTTCACACATGGTCTTTATTTTTTACGCATAAATTAGTAGATGCAAAAACAGGTTTTAATCCTGTTAGGACTCTTAAACCTAAGGTGGTATTAATTATGTATAGTACATATACAAATGAGGAAACGTAGATATGTATAAAAGAAATGTAAAAATCTCTGTTGTATATTACAGCAAGTTGTTTCTTTCATTGCTTTACTACAAGAGTAAAAATAGTAGAAAATGATACTGTTCATTCTAGATTAATCTCTTTTGGAATTAAAGTAAGTTTCTTGAAGAGTGTTGTGTATTTTTAAATTTTTTAAAGGTGAAATTTGTGGGTTGCCTGAATGTCTCAGTCGATTAAGCGTCCGACTCTTGATCTCAGCTCAGGTCTTGATCTCAGGGTTGTGAGTTCAAGCCCCACTTTGGGCTCCATGCTGAGTGTGAAGCCTACTAAAAAAAAAAGTAAAATTTGCTTTTTTGCCTTATCATTTCCTTAATTTAAGTATTATAAACGAAAGAATATATATGCCAACTATGAAGTGCTGTGATTTTTCTTAAAAAAGATATACCAGCTTCTGTATCTAAATGAATATGCTCTTCAAAGGAGATGATGTTTATTTCAAACCCTTTATCTTTTCTGTAACTTTTTATTTTTTTTTAATTTATATTTGAGAGAGAGAGAGCACGCAAACTGTTTGCAAGGGGCAGAGAGAGAGAGAGGAAGACACAGAATCCAAAGCAGGCTCTAGACTCTGAGCTGCCAGCACAGAGCCCAATGCAGGCCTCGAACCCCCGAACCGTTAGACCGTGACCTGAGCCAAAGTCAGTTGGTTAACTTACTGAGCCACCCAGGCACCCCTTTTCTGTAACTTTTTAAAAGCAGCTTTGAATACCTATGGGTATCCACTAGGGCGGTAAGTCTTTGCAGACTTTGGTGTACTCAATTTGTGGAAATAACTCAAATAGCAAGTTACCAGACAGTTCTGAATTACAGATGTTAGATGAGGAAGTGATTAAATTAGGGATTATTGTTGTTTAGACTTTAGATAATGGCTAGAGAGTAATAAGAGGGAGAAGGAATTTCTTATATTTTACCTTGACTACTTACAGTTCTGAAAGAAAAGTGACAGGTTTTAAACAAAGGAAATTGCATTTATTTTCTTTCCCAGGATGACTACTTTGAAGAGGGCAAAAATCATGTGGGTGTATAAATTCTGGCATATTAGAAAAATCAGTTACATTACGGTCATGCCCAATAAACATCAGCAGATGATCAGGTTTTTAATAACCTGTACATTAAAGAGCTTTTCAGAAGTCTGGAGTATCAGAGTGTCTGGAGCTTAAATATCAGAGCTATTATATACCTTCTATGTGAGAGGGTTTCAGTATGGAAATATTTGAATTTTACATACAGGATTTGATCATTTCATTTCCCACACAACTTTTATTTCTGATCTGGAGACAGGAAAATGTATAAAGGGCATGATGGAAGTAATGGATGATAAAGGCGGTTTGAAAAAACAATTGGTTTCAGCTGGAGAACTGTAAAACCAGGCTTCTCATGAATGTAAAGGCAGAAGAAATTACTTCTTTGTAGACTGGAGCTGTGTTTCTCAAAATCCAATGTGCATACAAGTCATTTGGTGGTCTTTTTAAAATGCAGATTCTCATCCCATAAGTCAAAAGTGGGTCCTGAGCTTCTGTGTATCTAAAAACCTCCTAGGCAATGGTGATAATGTTTTGAGTAACATGGCCCTAGACCCTAGTATTGAAGTGGGAAAGTTCCAACCCTGAAGCAGCAATCCTGGAAAGTTGAGCTACCAGAAAAGATAAACTGCACATCCATCAATAACTCTAGAGGGCGTCACTGTTCTACAGTCCAACACAATAAACATACCAGAATAATGACCTTTGGTTTTCCTGAACATTAAGTTAGGTTTGGTAACTTATTCACTTAAGTAACCAAACTTGATATAATTCTAAAAGGTTACATTTGTAAAAATTAAGTGATTGCTGTATACAAGAAGTCTATTAATTTTACTTAGTTGGATCTTTGAACTCCATAAATATACTTACAAAAACCCTGATGATAAAATATTCAGGGTTAATAGAAATAGTCTTGTACAAACACTATGTATTTTAAGCCACATAAGTAGACTTCTCCCTCTCCTTTTTAATTTTAATGTCATTTTTCTGATTATAAAAGCACTTTTTTTAAAAATTTGGGAAAGACAAAAAATACCATTTCCATCTTACTGCTCAGATAATCACTTAATATACTAGTACATTTTTAAATGAAAATAAACTTTTCTCCTGTATTTTTTTTAATGTTTATTTATTTATTTATTTAAAAAAAATTTTTTTTTTTTTAATTTATCTTTTGAGACAGAGAGAGACAGAGCATGAACGGGGGAGGAGCAGAGAGAGAGAGGGAGACACAGAATCCGAAGCAGGCTCCAGGCTCTGAGCTGTCAGCACAGAGCCCGACGCGGGGCTCAAACTCACGGACCATGAGATCGTGACCTGAGCTGAAGTCAGATGCTTAACCGACTGAGCCACCCAGGCGCCCCAATGTTTATTTATTTTTGAGACAGAGAGAGAGCATGAATGGGGGAGGGGCAGAGAGAGAGGGAGACACAGAATCAGAAGCAGGCTCCAGGCTCTGAGCCATCAGCCCAGAGCCTGACGCGGGGCTCGAACTCACAAACCGTGAGATCGTGACCTGAGCTGAAGTCGGATGCTCAACCGACTGAGCCACCCAGGCGCCCCTCTCCTGTATTTTAAAATTTACTGTGACATTGTCCCCCTGCTCCCTTCACTCTATGAGTGTTTCTACATTTTAAAAGTCCTTAATAAATTTGATTAATAATGCATTATGCCATAACTGGATGTTAAGTACAGTAGTCCCTTCTTAACCTTGGGGAGATGCATTTCAAGCCATCCAGTGGATGCCTGAAACCCTGTATAGTACTGAACCCTATATATACTATGTTTTTTCCTATGCATACAGACCTATGATAGCTTAATTTATAATTAGGCACAGTAAGAGATTAACAATGACTAATAATAAAATAGAACAATTATAACAATATGTTGTAATAAATGTTATGTGAAGGTGGTCTCTGAAGGTATCTTATTGTACTCACCCTTCTTGTGATGATGTGAGATGATAAAATGCCTATGTGATGAGATGAAGTGAGGTGAATGATCTAGGTGTTGTAATGTAGCATTAGGCTACTATTGACTTGATTTATGTCAGAAGGAGGCTTATCTACTTGGAGACTGGGAATGACTGCAGGTAACTCAAACTGTGGAAGGTGAAACTGTAGCTAAGGGGTAGGGGTGGGAGGACTACTGGAATTCAACCAATATTCTATTACTGGATAATTAAATTATTGCCAGTTTTTTGCTTTTATTCTTATCTATTTGTTTTAATCTGGCTTTTTTATAGTTGAGTATTGGTCTGCCATAAAACTCCCTTTTACTCAGAAGTGGAAATCATTCCACTGTAAATTTCTTGACTCTGAACCTAGGAATGGGCAACTTGGTCCTGCTTCCGTGTGTGTGTGTGTATGTGTGTGTGTGTGTGTGTGTGTGTGTGTGTGTGTGTGTGTGTCTGTTTTAATAAATATTTATTAATCGCAAGTCATCCTTTTGGCAATATTTTTTTTCATGTAAGCTCTACACCTAACATGGAGCTTGAACTTAACCCCAAGATCAAAAGTCACACTCTACTGACTAAGCCAGCCAGGCCCTCCTGTCCTACTTCTTCATTTGTAATCCATTAAAGTGTGTTCTTGTGTATCTTAAAGTATAAAGTGACAAGTATCTTGAACTCAGTCATACCTGCACACTTGAGCTTTATCTTATCTGCAGTTACTTTTCTATATCATTTTTATTAGTTTATTTCACAGTGCAAAAGTTCTCAAGTTTTTACTTGAATGATTTCTAAGTTGTCAAAGTAGTTGGCATAAAGTTTTTATAATATTCTTTTATTTTCCTTTTAATGTCTATTGGATCTGCAGTGATAAGCCCTCTTTCACTTTGATATTTGTTATTTTATTTTTTTTATTTGACCAGTCGGGCTTGTAGTTTATCAATTTTGTCTGTCTTCTCAAAGAACTAAATTTGTCTTTGTTAATTTCTTTCTGTTGTTTATTTTCCATTTCTTTGATAATATGCTTTTCTTATTTCCTTTCTTATATTTACTTTGGGTTTACTTTCCTCTTTTTTCCTAGATTTTGAGGTAGACTTGGGTCGTTGATTTTAGAACTTCTTTTCCAGTATAAGTCACTAAGATGATAAATTTCACTTTGTAGCTTTAGCTTCATCCTACAAATATTTTCATTTTGTACTTCCATTATCATTCAGTTTAAAATATTTTCTAATTTCTGACTTCTTCCTTGACCTGTGGATAATTAGAAGTGTGTTTGATTTTCAAATATTTGGGAACAAATAAGGAATAACATATTCTGGATTATTTTATTACTTTCTAATTTAATTCCATTGTGGTCTAAAAAAGTACTCTCTGATTTCAGCATTTTTGAATTTGTTAAGATTAATTTTATGGTGCAGTGTATGGTTTATCTTGTTAAATATATCATGTGGGCTTAGTGTTCTATAAATAGCAATTAGGTTAAGGTCATTGATAGCATAGTTTAAATTTATGCCTTAACTGATTTTTGCCAAGTTATTCTATCAATTGCTGAAAAAGGAATGTTAAAATTTTTTTTTTAATTTTTTTTTTTCAACGTTTTTATTTATTTTTGGGACAGAGAGAGACAGAGCATGAATGGGGGAGGGGCAGAGAGAGAGGGAGACACAGAATCGGAAACAGGCTCCAGGCTCCGAGCCATCAGCCCAGAGCCTGACGCGGGGCTCGAACTCACGGACCGCGAGATCGTGACCTGGCTGAAGTCGGACGCTTAACCGACTGCGCCACCCAGGCGCCCCAGGAATGTTAAAATTTTTAACCATCATTATGGAATTGTTTATTTCTCGCTTTAATTCTGTCTCAAATTTTGCCTCATATATTTTGAAATCCTTTATTAGGATTTATGATTTTTATGAATTTGCCATTATTTATTTTTTTAAGCTTATTTATTTTGCGGGAGAAAGAGTGAGAGAGAATGCACATGCCAGCGGGGAGGGGCAGAGAGAGAGGAAGAAGAGAATCCGAGCAGGTTCTGACAGCAGGGAGACTGATGCAGGGCTCAATCTCATCAACTATGGTATCAT